CCTTGAGAGGAAGATGGTGAGGATCTGAACCTGCTATGGGGAAATGCCAAGCTGACATTCTCCAAACATCCAACCAAGATATCTGAGCAGCATGTCTTCCCCTTTGTTTGCATTCTTTATCAAGTACGTGAAAAGGTTCTTGTCAGACAGGAGGAGAAGTGCTTCATAAAAATAAGGGAGTTGCACGTCATGTCCCTAAGAGGAAGCGACAGTTCTTACCTGCTATACCAGGAGGCTATCCAATTTGATCCATAAGATGTTTCTTCCAACAATCTGCTTTCTGATCACCATTTTCTTTGCTTATACATTTATTTTTTTTTTTATCAAACTGTTCCCTTTCTTTTTTCATTTTTGTTGTAAGACGTCTGTATCAGGATATTTATGTCATAAACAGCGACAGGCAGATCATTTGGAGACATGGAATAGACCTGATGGCTGTGTGTGACCAGGCTGAGGGAGAAAGATGGTAGCAGGTAACAAGGGACAAGAAAACTAATCTGAGTGTCAGAAGTACTGTAACAACAGTGATAATTTATTAATGTCTCTATTGGCTTTTAAAACTGAAAAAGTAAATTTCAGTCTTTTTTTTCATAAATTTATAAAATTCTGTAATCCAAGCATTTTCTTCATTCTGAAATAGTAGAATGGAAAACATGCTGAACTGGGATAATTTCCCATGCAGCTGGAGGGCCTGCAGATGCCTCACAGCCACTAATGAATTAATCTAAGACACATGGATTTATTCCAAGGCAGAAGCATCTTGTATCATGTAAGTTACATAAGGGGATATGGTTAGCAAAGAACAGACTTCTCAGAAGATGCTTTTCATACAAGACTTGAGGTATTCAGAGCTTAATATTTGGAGATACTGAGTACCAGTGACTGAATTCTGTGCTGCAGAGTTTTGTATTAGAATATTTGGGGCTAAATTGTTCCATTTTGGTTACCCAAAGCCAAATGATGCATTCAAGCATGATGGTCTCCATGTTTTCCCCAAGCTCTTGTGGTGAGTCATTGAGAATGAAGAGTGCTTCACAGCAGTCACAGTTCCCAGCTTAAATGCCAGACCACACCACTTTTGAGTCAAAATAGGCATTTCTTAATCTTCCTTTGCTAATGGCCATAGCTCTGAAGAAAGTAATTCAATAATAAAGATGGAAATGGCAGCCAGAAAATGCTGACTGTCTCCACATGCTTTAACAATACTCCCCATAGAGCAGGATTAACCTTTTCATACCTAGTCTGTATCTGTTAGTAAAGCTGTAGTCTTAGAAATGGGCATTTTTCATTACTGTATTCAGGAGCTGCATTCTTCTTGGTTTTTTGATCTAAATGTCCATATTATCTTTTTGGGGTTTTGTTTCTTTGTTTTTTCTTTTGCTTCCCAAGTAGAAGTCGGGAGACAAATGCAAGAGATCACCCATTCTCTTCCAGTGGGTGGAAGACCAAACATTTCTCTTCCAAGAGGCTGAGCATATGTATCTATATATGTGTGTATGTGTTTGTGTGTGTGTGTGTATATATATGTATGTATTCCTTGAGGGAATGCAGAATATCTATTTCTTGACCAAACTATCATTTTTCTTCTGATACTTTTAAGGTACTGTAACAATACTACACAATATGTGTGTGCAGTGTTGCTGTTGCATGTGTATTTTATTTTTATATTCAATTTGTTATTTTGTTTTCTCCATATGAACTTCAGCACCTAAACATCACCACAGGTTTCCTGTCTGATATTTTTCTCTACACCTGGGACATTTCCTAGCTAGGCTGTCTGTTCTTCTCAAGCTGTTCTGAAAAGCCTCTCATGTAGGTTCAATCTGTTGGAGGACATGCCTTCTTGATAAGAATTGTCTGGACTTGCTACTTCCTGACCTTTTCTAGATTTGGTACCAGCGTGTCCTGTGCATATATATCAGCAACCTTGTTCTAAGAAGTCTTGGGTTGGTAACTGTTGTTCAACAGTGAGGGGGATATCCCCCCTCCCTGAGACCAAAGAGGAATGAGTCTGATTATGATAGAGCTGTTGGTAGGGATCTGACTTTTCCATGGCTCTGAACTGCTGAGGAAAAGTAGTTGCTAGGAGAAGGCTTCATAGTATTTAGGGCAAGGGGGTGGCTCTGCCTTCATTAACAAAGCTGGTTTATTTTGTTCTTTGGGGAACAGAGATCAAACCATCTAATGGTGCAATCTGTGGAAGATTTTTCACTGCCTGACCTTCCACTGCTAAAGCTGTTCCAAAATGTTCCACTAGCATTGGGTGGTCTCTCAGCTGAGCTAGCTGTATAAATTAGTTCATACCTCTGCCTACAGCTTTAACTCTTCTTGTGTCTCTCCGTTATTTCTTTATAGACTGGGTCAGGCAGTTTAATAGCAGAGGAAAGGCTTTCTTCAAGCAAAGCCTCCTTCCAGAATGCTCGGGATGTTATATGCCAAGCTTACAGTCACAGGGCTACATCACTTATCCTAAGACACAGCCCATGAAGAGTAGGTAGGGGGCATTGTCACCCTTCCACTGATGACTCAATAAAGCTGAATTTCTCCCCTTCACCTTCTATTTACCAAATAGCTATTTGGGTAAAGCTCCCTGCATTCACATTGACAGGCTCATTAGGTTTTCCATCACCAGACTACCTTGTGCACTATCTGTGTACATTTGAGGCTGAAGATCGGTCAACAATCATCAGGTGGTGATTGTGTCACTTGTGTACAAAGCAGCAGCACAAGAGGGGTCTGTGTCCTGCTTACCCCTGTCAGAGCTGCCAAGCAGAAGGAAAAATCTTCGTCTTTGTGACAGCTGCTGCCCAGAAAAGAGAGCTACAGCTCAGCAGTGATGGCATCTAGCAGGAGTTGCAGGGAACTTGGTGAGCTGGAAGAGGCTGGAAGGAGCCAAGAGGGCATGATGCTGAGTTATAATTTGGGTACTAAAATGTTTTGCTGCACCTTTGGGTGTTGTCCTCTGTCCTCTGATCTGGTATCTTCTCCTGTTGGACCATTCTTCTGTGCTTGGAATAAGCAGTAAGGACTAAGTGGCAAGTTCTGTGTTCTGTGGTGATTGCACAAATACTCATGTAGAGACATCTGTGCCTTATACTTGATAATATCACACAATTAACTGTAGTAACACTGGTGTCTGCCAACATACAGTCTAAAATCTCACACTAAATAATCCCGATACATGAAAAAATCTTGGATGAGGATAACAGATTTCCAAGTACTTATTTGGCTATGATACAGAAGCAAGACAGCCATGGGATGATTCACTGCCTTAGTGTTTGGGCTAAATGACCTAATGGCTTCTTTTGGAGAGAAAGTGGTTCTTCCAGAGAACAATCTTGTCTGGGGAAGATGGCTCATGTACACTTACTTATTGCAACAGAGCACTCACTCCTGTCTTTGTGGTGCTTGTATAGGAGTCAAAATGCTGGCTGTAGCAATGCTGCCACGGTAGGCCCTTGCAGTCCCCGAGGCAGGAATGTTTGGTGGTGGCCCGGTACCTCCAGCTGTGGTTCACAGCCTGTCTGTAACCAGAAAATACCCGTGTTAGCGGTGGAAATGCTGCTGTAACCCAGGGAGGTGGGTGAGGACGTACAGCTTGTTACAGGTCACAGCATGAGATGGAAGTTCCCTCTGGTGGAGGAACAGACCCACTGCAGAGAGAAGAGCAATGCGGTCATGTAGATGCTCCTCCTAGAAGATACCTTTTAAAGGTGCTGAACTTCATCTGCATGTATGTCTAGACCTGCAGCTTTAGCTGAAGACTATGGGTGCTATTGTTTTTCTGGGAATCAGATCCAGAGAACCTACAAAATAAGAGATGATCCTGTTATGGAGGACTTTGAGCTGAGCAGAAGAAAGGTGTTAGGTAAGTGCTGGATATTGTGTGATGATCATTCCCCCGTGGAAATGACAGGAGTGTGAGGATGGCTGTAGCCACCCGAGACTGAAGAGGTCTGTGATCAGCTCCTAGCTCTGCTACCTCTGTTTTGAAACATTCAGTCTCTCCCTAGAAGGGTTCCTCGCAGGTACTCGTGATATATTAGGGAATTTCAGACTCTTTCAGCTCTGCTGTCTCAGAATAACAAGGAAAATTTTCTGCAGATGCACAGTCTTAGAAAAGAACAATGTGTTGGGCATGGAGGCAGGGATCCTGCAGTGCAGCCAGGGTGGCTGGAGTCCTAGTCCTAATGCCTGAAGCCAGGCTGACTGCTCCACAGAATAGCCTCCAAGTGAAGCTTGGGGCTGGTCTCATGGTGGCAAGCTTGAGAGAGATCTGAGGATTATCACAAGACTAAAACATATAATGAATTCCTATGGGCACATGTGCTTCGGATAGAATTAAAAATCCAAAGCAGTGGGAGATGGTTTCTGACAATCTGATTGCATTTGGCATGTCCCACTGTGGTGAAGGAAAAGAAGAACCCAAAGCAAACTTAGGGAAGAACTTGCTGGTGTCAAGCCAACGTCTGTTCTGCGTGTGGGCAAATGTTCCTCGTGGAAATTGGACTTGATAGCTGTGAGCCCCCCTCATGAGAACTAGTGTGGAGAGATTGCTGGCTGTCATCATGGACGGTGACGGGGATTCACCTGGATTGTGTGGCTCGTACCCTTGTCCCTTGTGCTTGCAAGCTTTGGGGTGTGGAGGGGGATCCCCCTCTTCCTATATATCCAAGAAGCCCAACACCCAGCTTTAGCTTTGTCCTTACTTTGGTGTGGAACAGTCCATAGGGTTTGCTTCGTGTCCTGCTCGTTGCGGTGGTCCAGAAGTGCACACGTGTCCGCCCGATGCCGCAGCGTGGGCAGGGGACCCCTACCTGCCGGGCGCCGCCGCCGCCCTCCCCGATCGCCCGGGGGTCTCCCGCTGGGGAGCCCGGCGGGGTCTGCTCCTCCTCCTCCTCCTCCTCCTCCTCCCGCAGCGCCGAGCACGGCGGGGGGCGGCGGCGGGCCCTGCCCAATCTGTGCGGCCGGGCCCGGCTGCGCGTTGGCTGCCGGCGGCGCCGCCAGTGAGGCTGCGCTGAGGCTGCGGGGCCGGATGGCCGAGCCGCCCGCCCCGCTCACTCGGGCGGCGGCCGGCGGCGGGCGAGGAGACGGGGCGAGCCCTCCCTATCGGGAGAGCCAGCCCTGCAGCACGCAGCGCCATGGTGTCATGGATCATCTCCAGGCTAGTGGTGTGAGTACCTGCCGGGCGGGCACCTGCACGCCTCTGCCCGCATATCTCTGTGTGTGTGTGTGCGGTGTCCGCGCCGTGTCTGCTGCCTGCCCCGCTCGCCCCCACTATGAAACGCGGCTAAATTTAGCAGGTTGTTGTTAGGGACGGAGCGCTCGGCTGCTTGGTGGGTGAGGGTGAAAATAGGGGGGGGTCAAACGGTATTCTCCAGCGTGGGAAAATTACCGAGGGTGGAGGGCAAAACGCTGCCGCGCTGAACAGCGCAAGGTGACAGCGCAGAAGGAGGGCGGTTGCCATCGCCCGGTGCCCGGCGACGAACGGGCTCGGGGTCAGGAGGGGGGAACGGAGCATCAGCCGGGGGGAAAATGGACGTGGATTCGGGCAGCGGCGCTTTGTTAGAGGGGCTCGGCGCGGCCTCGCGAGGGGGCGTGGGAGAGGCGGCCGCGGGGTCTCCCAGCCGCTACCGCTGCTTTCTTCTATTTTATTTTTTTTTGTAAAAAATACATCAAATATGTCTTTCCTCCTCGCAGCTTGCCGCCCTCCCTCTCAAAAGACGTTCTTGATTTCTCTTTAACCTGTCAGCCTGGGAGGAGTAGCGTGTGGCTCTTTGCACTTGTCCTACAGCTTTTCCGTGGCTGGAAGTGCCGTAGGTGGGAATATATGTAGAAATTCCCTAGAAATTCTTCCCAGGCAACAGGGAAAAAATGAAACAAGGTGGAGGTATATGTTGATCTGCCTCACCTGAGAAGAGATTCAGTGAGAAAAGGGCATTTTTGATGCCACTAGGGAGATTCCTGCAGGTGGAGTTTAGGCTTAAGGTGGGGCAGCAGGATGGCTGATCTGTCTCTCTTCTGGAAATGTGGCTGATCAAGGTTAGTACATCAATCAGATGAATCATTTGACAGTTTTCTCTGTCTGGTACTCATAGCTGCAGACTCAGGAGAACATCTGTTGTGCTTTTAAGTTATTGTAGAGGGTCTGCAAGGGCCTCTCACTTTCTTTGTCTGAAAGAAACATGCCATGATATTGCACCATCAGCATAGCTCTGGAAAGGCATTTTCAAGGTCTCCCCTTTTGCCAGTTGAGATGAAACATCAAAGGGAAACCTCACCTTGATCATAGCTGTCTCTCTCTATTACTAAGGTGTTCAGTGGCTGTCAGATATGAAAATTTTTGCAGGTTCCAGAGTTGAACTTAGCCCCTGGAGGTATATGATATGGATTCAGCTGCAGCTGTTGCTAGCCGTTATTGGGTTAGCACTTAATTCTGGGAAAGCATGTTTGATATTTAAATGATTTAATTTGAACAGCATAACTGCAGACATCTCTGACAGCAATGTGAGATGTAGCGTGTATTGTCCAAAGCAGGTTTTTTTGTGTCCCTACTAGACACACTTTGGAAAAAACCTGTCATCATGTAACCCAGCTAATCTTCAAGAACAAAGAATGGCTAAAGAGAGGTGGTAGTTTAACTTACTTGCCTTGGCGCATGCACATATACACAGATGATTCATCTAAGGCACATGGACTGGGTAAAAATCTAATGGGGCAGATCATAGGGTAGTTGACATCTGCAGTCAGGTAATTAGCTGAACATACAAACCTTCCCATTCTCTTCAGCTTTCTCTGAATAGAATGTCACAGTATGAAATTATCTGTGTATCATTTGTTATACTAGATTTTCAATAGAAAATAATAATTTGAATATGCAGTGTCAATCATTTAGTAATTATTAAAAAAAAAAAATTGTGAGGAAACCTAGAGCAAGCCAAGCTTGGTCACCACTTTCTTTCCACAGCAACTTAGTATATATCCACTCTTTAAGAACATTTTGCACCAGGAGGTGTGGGTTTGTTATGATCCCAGCAATAGACTTGGACTCTGAACAGTATTGCTTAAAATGCCATTTATTAGAGCTAACAGAAATAGAGGAGAGTATAAATAATCTTACATCCCTTCAGATGCTAAGAACCCTGAGCTGAGAAACATGGAACAGCCCTCCAGCCTGGGCTCAGCACACTACGTAGATCTCTCTGTGGAAAGGTTACCATATATTTTGGTCTTTTGAGACCCCTAAAGGATTTTATTTTTTTAAAAAGGCAATTCTATTAATAATTTCTACTGTCAAACGAAAAATATTTTCACACAAGAACTTGTTGACATACTTTTAGATGACAACAAATAAGGAGACACAGGTGGTTTAATTGCGAGTGACTACTGTGAGCTTCCTACAGATTCCTTTGTTAAAATGAACCAGCTGAGTTGATCCTGCATCCAGGGGATACCCACAGCACAACGAGGGCCAGAAGGCCAAGCTATACAGGCAGCACAGTACAGGCCTGCACCCATTCAGGTTAGCTGTTGCTTGGATCACTGACTCCTTGGTGTACAGTGGTCTCCAGATTATGGCAGATTATGTCTCATGACAGAGATTTAATCTGTCTAATCTGGTTTCCCCATTTTATCATGAATCACTAGTTGATCCATCAGTACAGATAGCTGTGCTCTTAGTAGAATGGCCACCTGGTTGGGCTTTTTTTTTTTTTTTCCCTGCTTCTGCCTATTTAGTTGTTCTTTCATCAAATCTTATTAGCTGATAAGGATTAGGAGGAAAGTGGTGTGGTTAGTCACACTGTCAGGATTGCTTTGTTCTCTTACCGCTTCTGCTGATCTCCATGGGCATTATGTCTGATCTGACTCGACTAGCAGAAAGGGCTTTAAAACAGAAAGCAAACCTTTGCTTTGGCTCTTCAGTGCTTCGCTGCTTCCACTATCTCTGCTTTGGTTGTTACTGTCTCTGTCCTCGCAGTTTCTGTTTGCAAAATGTTGCTGAAAGAGAATAGTCTGTGAGCAGACCTCACCCAAGTCAGGCAGCTTACTGCAAACCTTCTCTTACATCATTTTGACTTCAGTGTTTGGACTTTGTGTTAACGTTAATTCGGGGTGCTGGCTTGTTCTGTTCTGCCTGCAGAGATGTATGCTGTTAATCCTCAGAAGAGAAATTATAAGAACTTCAGAGCAGCTTCTTATACTGCCATAGCTGGGTGTTAAAAGTCGAAGACTTTATTATTGTTCAGGATCTGCACTGGGTACTGTACAAACGTGAAAGATAATCCTGTCCCTGACTTTTTCCCTTAAGAGCTCAGTTTTCATCCTCCTGTGGTCCAGGTAGCGTTTTCACTCACCTCAACAAGAACAAAATCAGGATGTTCTTTTTCACATGGTAGTAGATTACAGGTGACTTTCCACCAAAGGATGTCTGATACCACTGTAATTGCAATTGTTGCATCTTGGAGTTATTTGTTGCTTTATCTCTCACAATAACTGGATTGGGATAGCATCATTATCTGTGGGTTAATTACAACCCCTTTTTTATTCATCATCTCTGAGAACATCTCAGAGGACATCCTGAAACACCTGTATCTCAGTTTCCTCATCTGTGAAGTGTAATGAACTGTGCTGAATTTATCTTCCCTGAGACAGACCAGAAGGGAGCAGTGGCATGTCCTACCATCTACAGTTTATTGCTACTTCAAAGGAGATTTTTTTTTTGCTTCAAATGGTAGAGACCACTCTAGCAGAAGGATTTGGGATCTGTCTTCATTATTGCAGCCCAGTTCACTACAGTGCACAGAACTGGCAATCCTAGGTGGTTACTGGTCTGCTATACCTTTTGGCTGTTGTGTGAAAGTGTTTTTTAAGCTAAAACTGGTATATATAAATGCTGCCTATTGTATTTGCATGGAAATCCTATTTTTTTCCCAGAAACACGGAGCTTGCTTATTGTGCTTGGAATCATGCAGAAGAAAACCACAGGTTTTGGCTCCAATTCTGGAAGTTAGGCACATCACACTGCCTGTTGAAAGCCTTTCAATCTGGAACATGCAGTGGAGGAAGGGGATGTCAGTAGAAAGGAGACTGGATCGGACAGGTCATTGGTAGTTGAGAGGATACAGTGAGACTTAGGCATTTGAATTCCTGCTGTGAGGAGATTAAAAGTGCATCACAAGTTACTATAAAATGGTTAAATATATTCTTCATGGTGAAAAAACACAGCCCTAATTATGCTTTTGTTCCCCTGTATTTATTTTCTTTTAAATCAAAATAGTAGTAATGGCCTGTCCAATCTCTTATGGTTTGATATGAAACAGGGTGGCAGCCTCAGATACGTTCACTGGTAATTCCTGGCCCTGTGTGGAACTAACAGGGATTTGGGGTTGTGTCGGAGGCGTCCTTTCCTCCGGGTGTCACTGGAAGTAGGTAGGTCTGGACCAAACCAGAGAGGAACCAAAGAATTCTTTAAACCGAGGAGTGAAATTTCCTTCCTTGTCACAATTTCTCTGCTGTCTCTTTCTCGGTTACTGTGATGCCATTTTAGCAAGGGTAGGTGAGATCGGCCACCCCCATCCTTAGCTGGTATAAATCCGTAGTGCTACCGAGTCAGACGTTGATTTAGTCAAAAGGCACTGCTTACATCAGTAATGAATTCCCATTTTAGAGAAACTTAGCAGATCCTTCCTCCTCCTGTTTTTCATATGTATGGGAAGCCTGAAGAGATTTATGAATGGGAAAGGAAAAAAAAAACAAACCCAAACCAGAAGTAATGTAATAGCAGTTATATGATGGTATAAAAAGATAACTTGTATCCTCTTTACCAGAGGCAGGCAGGGACAGGATCTGCTCAAGGGGGCGAGAGTTGTTCTCATGAAGGCATAGCACAGCCTTGTGCTTCTGGCTATTGACACGTCAGCATTTGCCCCTCAGTTGATATACACCATGTAAGTGAAGGTTCTTCTGCATGGTCCACATTGTTTACTTGGTGCTGGAAGGTGATGTGAAGGATTCTGGTATTTATTGCTCTGTACAGGCCTTGACACCAGTGGTGTGCAATTAATATGAAACACAGCAATAGACCTAGTGTGGCTTGAGCTCTCTTCTGAGACTATGGGATAAGTTTGCAGTAGACACTTTTATATGCTCTGAAGCTGGGAAGTGGAAAGAGCA